GTCCATTGTCAGTTGTCGATGTGTGGAGCCTCTGTTCTAGACGGATGTTCAACTTAACAGTCTCTGTCGAAACTCTGGTATATCAAAGATTTGTGGTTTTGAGATTATTTACTACATACCTTAGAGTTTGGTAGGGATTGTTCGATATATTATGGGCTTGGCCCGTATCATATTTAATAAATCGAATAAACTCTATGGCGTGTAATAAATAATGTGCTGATTATGGCTTAATACATACGGGATTTTGATTGAATGGTAACTCAATTTATATGATTGAATATTGTCCACCTATATTGAGAAATTGAGAAAAGGACATTGGTGTGCCACACGAGTGCGCGCGGCATGGCCGTGGGCGTGGGTGTGGTGTGGCGAGGCGAGGCAGGCAGGCGGCGAGCGAGCGGACGGACGGATGGACGGGGCCATGTTTTGCCAATCAAGTCGCATAATTACGGGAGTTTCTTCTGTTTTTAATTGGTGGCGATTTGATGATGGGAGTTTCATTGTTACCGCCGCTGATCGATGATGGCGAGAGCTCTGTCGTCTCCTGTCTCTTGAAATCCTCCTGAGCCCTTTCGCTTACCCCGCAAGTGACTAAATAGTGCCTCCCTTCCGTGAATCTTTCAGTTCGCTGGCAACAACCACTCTTCCGTTGTCTCAAAGTTTCTCCGTCCCAGTACTTGCGCGCACGAGTCCCGGGAGAGTAGGCCTCCGAAACGCCTGCCGTCTACGAGTTCGCCTGCTCGGGTGGAAGGCGGCAATCACGTTTTTGGGGAGTGTCGTTGACAGCATGACTACTCGCTACGTCTTCTTCTTCCCGGCGCACAGTGAAGGCTCTCTGGTGATCGACACTACTTCCCTTCTACACTACATCGAGTGGGACGACTACACCGACAGACACTATGTCGACTAGTGCTTCCGGCTCTGTCGTTGGGTATGTTCTGTTGTTCGCTATCCAGTAAAGTTTTGGATCAATATCTTGCTGGTTAGTATCATCTACGTGCTATTCATGCTTAGAGCACACAAGAACGTACATGATGTCACAGACTTTTTGATTATTGCTATTTTCTAGATTAAATTATTACTGAAATTACCTAAAATTCTAACATTTCCTTAAAAAAAGTGACTTGGCACTGAGAACGTCCGTTGGTTGAACCGGAATGCCATCTTAGAGTAGATTCCCACCATTGCAAGGAACCTCAATTATATACGAAGGAAATTGTTCTCAATGAGCATATAATATAACCGATGCCAAGGTAAAATTAAGTAAAACTTGTGGGCCCACCTGTCTCATTAAGGACTAGTTTATAGAAAATGAACATTCTGGCTTCTCAAGTCCTACTAGCTTCTACTATATTCTTTTGACTGGTATATACAGTCCGAGTGGAATTTAGTAGTAGGTTAAAATCCTATCTTGCCTGGACCAACAAGCCTAGGGATGATGTAGCAGGCAGGGGACGATCACTCATCAAACGGCTTGGCACGGGCCGGCGCAAGACCGCCAAGTCCACGGTACTTCAGTCTCCCAGCGTCCACCTCCATGTCAACCCGTGTTAGCTCCTGCACCACTTCCGGCCCACCACCAATTAACCAGCCTTCGCCAAAACCTGGTCTAAAACTGCTGTTCAGCGGATGGTTTTTACGGCTAATAAATCGACTGAAGCTGTTTTTTTATGAGAGAAAAACGCTGAAACACTATTACATGGCTGATAAGTCAGACTGATAAGTTCTAATTTATATAGCTAGCTAAACTTCAGTTACGGTGCATCCAAACAAAGCCATGCATAGACTATGTCTAGAAAACCAATGTATATAGATATACAAAATCTAAACGTCTTACCGTGTAGAACAGAGGTAGTTTTATATTCGTTTGATTGGTATATAACGGAGGGAGTAATATTTTATACTTTTGATTGGTATATACGGTCCGAGTGGAATTTAACTGATCAAACGGCTGGGCTCGGACCGGCAAGGCCGCCAGGTCCACGCTACTTCAGTCTCCCAGCGTCAGTGCGTCACACCTCATGTCAATCCGTGTTAGCTCCTGCACCACCTCCGGCCCACCACCAACCAGCCTTCGCCGAAACCCGGTCAAGACGTCAAGTCCACGGGACCTATAAGTCACAACTCACAAGAAACCAAACGCGTGCCCAGTTGGAGCTAACAAAACTGCTAGATGAGCGTGAGCCCACGTTGTCTTCTCGCCACCATGGCTGCCAACCTACCACGTCTCCCCGTCCTCCTCTTCATCTTCCTCGACGTCCATATCCCCTCCACCCATGGCGACCCTCCTCTTCCGAGCACTTACGACGTCTCCATGTGCTCGGAATCCACCTGGTGCGGCAGCGACGAAATCCGCAACCCGTTCTATCTTGCCAACGCAACCGAAGCAACCGCCGATCACAGCGGAAACTACTCTTGCGGCTACATCGACTTGAACATTTCCCTGCAAACTCGAGGGGCAGGCCTTGATCCCTACCATCGGTCTCGGCGACGACGACTACACCGTCGAGAACATCTCCTACAACTACAACGATGGGACCATCATACCGGTGGACAGTGACGTGTTCGTCGGCGGCAGCTGCTCCGCAGTCAGCCACAACGTCACCTTCGACGAGACATGGCTGCATAACACCAGCTCCAACGGCAACCTCACCTTCTTCTTCGGCTGCGACCTACACGATCCCGTGGCGCATGAATTTGACTGCGCGGGGTTCAAGAGTCCGCCAGATGCTGCCCCAGGAGATCGAGACTCCTTCGTGCTCACGTAGCCTGGTGAGCTTGTTGACAGGTATCTGGTGCAAGAATTGGCTACGAACTGCAGCGAGGTTGTCACCGTGCCAGCGAGAGGCGATGTTCTGATGGCAGCAAGTAACCAGAGCAACTTCACAAGCGGCGTATACGGAGACGTGCTTAGGCGTGGGTTCGAGTTGGAATGGAGCCGTATCACAGGCACAGCGGATGGGTGACACCTGTGTGCGAGGAGTCGTACGGGCAATGCTCCTATAGGCAACACGGGGAATTCCTGGGCTGCTTGTGCCACGGAGGGAAGGTGGGCGACCCGTACTGCAAACACATCGTCCCTGCCAGGGCCGCAACTGCATCAAGTAATTTTTCTGTGCGTTTTTTTCGGTACGCACAGAAAAATTACGATTATTCTGTCGGTTCCAAAATATCCCGACAGAAAAATACGAAAACCCACAGAATAATTATATGATTTTTCTGTGCGTGACAATACACACACGAAAAAATTAGCACTCACAGAAAAATGCAATTTATTCTGTCGGTTCTTTAAAAATGCACAAAAAAAATATATGCACACACAGAAAAAATATATGCACGCATAGGATAAATAAAAAAACAAAGAAGTCCTAACCTAATCCGCCAAATTACCGCCCCAAACAACTTCGCACGCGACGCTTTTCATGAGACTCACCTGCTCGGCTCTCCTCACGCATACGCGACGCGACACACTGCGGTGCCCGCCAGCCTTCTGCCACGCATACGCCCGCCCGCTGCCGCAGCTGCTCTGCACCCATGCCGTCCGCCGTAACCAGGTCGGCAGCCTCTAGATCCAGGCCTCCGTAAGCTCCTCGCTGGCCGCCGCCACCGATTCGGCACCCTTGCTCTCCCCAGCCCGCCGGTGGCCGCGCACCCTCCGCTCCCCCTTCTTCTCCCCTGCCGGCGCCCCTCCCCTCCCCCTTCTTCTTCCCCGGCAGGCACCCCTCCCCTCCCCCTTCTTCTTTCCCGGCGGGTGCCCCTCCCCTCCCTCTTCTTCACCCGGCCAGATCCGGCCCTCCCTCTCCTGGATCCGGCCGGTGGCTGAGGTGGTGGTGGTGGTGGCTAGCGGCGGGGCGTGGTGGTGGCGGCGGCCCTCCCCTACCCCTTCTTCTCCCCCGCCAGTGCCCCTCCCCTCCCCCTTCTTCTTCCTCGGTGGGTGCCCCTCCCTTCCCCCTTCTTCACCCAGCCGGATCCGGCCCTCCCTCTCCCAGATCCGGCCGGTGGCTGCGGTGGTGGTGGTGGTGGTGGTGGCCGGCGGCGGGGCGTGGTGGTGGCGGCAGCCCTCCCCTCCCCCTTCTGCTCTGATATTTTGATCATGTCTGTGGTTGAGGTTTATTAGAGTTGTATAAGATGAATTTTAATGGGAGAAGTGATGATACCATAACATAGGAGATATCTGCATTCATTGTGATGATCACATCATGCACTACCATCTGATCTCTCTTTAACATTTCATTTTTACTGTAAACTTTTGCCAGTTTTATAGTATCTTGTAAGTCAACAGTGGTTCTCTAAAGTCTAAATAGTTATTTGTTGGTGGTTGTATTTTTTATGTGCAATCTGTGATGTAAATTCCCATTTCCTGAATCACTATGATTATTGCAACAAAAATCACCATCTTATTTGGATCTCGCGGGGTCTGTACTCGTGCCACGTGCTGCTGTTGTTAGCTTGATGGAATTGGCACATTGGTTTCAATTCTAAAACATGGCGTTTTAGAGGTTTCTACGGTTCATGCTCAATCAGTGGATTGACTGTTGGTGGGGTGGATTGGGATTCACCTGTTCCATTTGTCTGACACTGTATATGTACATGCTTTGTGCATTGCCACTTGGGTAGCGTAAAAACGAAAATTCCAGCAATTGTATGTATGTATGTTAGGCTACCATTAAATTGTTACACAAGTTGGCAAAATTGCTGGAGTGTGTGAATAGCATCTGAATTTGAAGTTCTGTGGTCATGTGCGTCAGTGTGTATGTGTGTGTCCTTTCCATTTGCATCAGAGGTAGCATCTGTCCGCAGCAGTGTGTAATACACCATGCAATTTGGTTAGGTATTGATACCTCATTACATGCAGTGAAGGCAAAGGATGCTGCGTTCTATTGTTCAGTAAAAAAAATGTGCTTCTGTTAGTTCATGCTTGCGACATGGTCAGGTTATGGATTATATGTTTGCTTCAATTGTTTTCTCATGCTAATGTGACTCCTGCTGCACATGTAGACATGGCTTCGACATTCGGTGCCACTTGTACAGTTGGCCTTATGGCTGCTCCAACAGGGAAGAATGTGCGCCTTCAGAGGAGGACTAACTTCAGAGTAAAAGCAGCCAAGGAGCTGTACTTCAACAAAGATGGCTCAGCTGTCAAGAAGCTCCAGGTGAGCTTCACATTTATCATCTGGCGCTCTTTTTATTTATGATATGACAATGTGCTGTTGACCCTTGACCAGGCGCTAATCGGTTTTCTCTATATTTCAGACTGGAGTCAATAAGCTTGCAGACCTAGTTGGAGTTACACTCGGACCAAAGGGAAGGAATGTCGCTTTGGAGAGCAAGTATGGCTCTCCTAAGATTGTTAACGATGGTGTTACAGTTGCAAGAGAGGTACAGTGCAATGTTATCATGGTTGTACCTTGAATTTGCTTGCTAGCTGGTCAATTACATAACGCTGTATTTTTTTTTCATTCTTGTCATACATGTTTTGCAGGTCATATTTTTATGACCCATTTCATGCATAAACTATAGAGGATCAACAGAAGCATATACTTGTTAAATGTTGTATATACAATATTGATGATGCACCATTTAATTTTACCATAATGTCATAATGATTGTTGCAAAATATTGATTTTTGTTAATGAATTGAGTGTGCTCTGAGGGCTTATGGGTTATCATGAAAGTAAGTTCATGTTGCACTTAAGTAATAATTGTTATTCTGTAGGTTGAGCTGGAGGACCCTGTGGAAAACATTGGAGCTAAATTGGTCAGGCAAGGTGCAGCTAAGACCAATGATCTAGCTGGAGATGGGACAACCACCTCCGTTGTCCTTGCTCAGGGACTGATTGCTGAGGGTTTTAAGGTGTGCCACTAGCTGCAATTTGTTGCTACTTGTAGTATGAGATGAGATGGTAATGCTTTTGAATGTATTGATGCCGGAACATTTGAACATCATCTACATATAGTCTGGATGCTATGAATGAATGTGCTGAACATTTGGACTCCATCTTTATATGTTGTGATGAAATTACTGTATGGATAGTCCATATTTTAATATGATGTTGCTACTGTTTTCAAACAATTATTGTATCTAATTTACTGCATGGGTAAGTGTATATTATTCTGTCGGCGGTCTGTTAACACCTGATAGAAAAATACAATTGTTCTGTGCTTTCACCTAACCTGACAGAAAAATACAATTTTTTCCTATGAGTGCACATCTGTAACTCTGACGGGACAACACTAACAGAAAAATGATTTTTCTGTCGGGTTTTTCTTTTTTCTGTGAGAAATAATGCACAGAAATTTTATTTTTAATCTGGCCAAACACAATTTTTCTGTGCGTGTAACACCTACAGAAAAATTGTTTCTGACGGCGAACACACAGAACAATTGAATTTTTCTATCATTATATTTCCGTGTGTATTTTTCTAAGGGTACACCATCAGAAAAATATTTTTCTAACGGTATTCGCATTTTTCTATGTGTTTTCGCACACACAGAAGAATGCGAGTTTCCAGTAGTGTAACCCTTTAAACCTACAGTCTAAAAACTAAATCTGCTTCATCTACGGCCTGCACAGCCAGCCATTCACTACCCTAGATTTGCACATCACTGCCGGATTTATGACAACCGGCAGTGATGCATCTTCACTGTCGGTTATGAGCTTGAAAATGAGAAAATGATTGGATTTGGGCTAGAACCGGCAGTGAAGGACCACATCACTGCCGGTTTGTGGCTTGAACCGGCAGTGTTTTGACGGCCACTTATCACTGCCGGTTCAAGCCAAGAACCGATAGTGATTGGGCTCTATCACTGTCGGTTCTAGCCAAGAACCGACGGTGATAAGTCTACAGCACAAAAAGGCTGCAGCCGTCCTCTTCTTCCTCCTCTCTTCCATCCCGAGAACAGAGGCGCGCGTTTGGGCCCGTTCCTCCATTGTTGCGGCTGCTCTTCACCATGAAGCTAGGGCTTGGATTTTAAAGAATGGCTTGATCTTTTTGCTTTAAGGTTAGTAACAAACATCCACTACTTTGATTTTGTTGCTTAATTAGCATCGTTTTGATGGCTCCATTCTAGTTCTTTCTCCATTCTAGAGAGCACTTTTTCAATTGGGCATTTGTGCAATGCTCAAATTGTGGTGAATCCATTATCCAAAAGGTTGGTGTCTATGAACACATTTAAATTCCTAGCTAATTATTCCATGGTGGTCAACATCATCATTGTTTGTATGTGATGCTATAATTAGTTCTTAGAAGTAGAGTAGAATAATTGTTCTTCATTATTGTGCAATAATTGTTTTTACTATGATTTTTAATTTACAGGGTCGGGGTAACCAATTTCAATTTTCCAATAATTAGTGTACAATAATGTTTTCTAAAAATAGTACTTTCGAGCTACAATTGTTGTTCATGAAGCTCGATTTCTTATTAATTCTTTGTAATTACTGTCTCGGTATTTTTTTTGTGCACAGATGGATCGTGAGTGGATGCATCTGTCCCGAACAAACAAGCAGTACATGTATGGCGTCAGCTAGTTTATCACCGATGCCAAAGCCCATGCTGGGAATGGGAACCCTGTCTTCTGCCCATGCAAAGATTGCAAGAATCAAAGGAACTTTCATTAAATTGAGTCTATACGATCGCACTTGATTACCAGGGGTTCATGCCAAACTATACGATATGGACTATGCATGGCGAGGTTGGTGTGAATGTTCTGCAGGAAAACGATGATGATGTGGATATGCCTGACGTAGCCATCCACGATGCTGACGAGGAACCCGGTGTCAATATGGAACCTATGGCCACAGTTAATAATATGTTTAGGAACACGCTAGTTGATGACACCGAGGATAACGATAGCATTTCTCAGCTGCTACGTAATATAGAGACCGGATGTCTTAGTGAAAGACAACTGAGAAAGCTAGAAAAAATGAGACAAGATGGCAAAACACCATTGTATAGGAATTGTCCAATAAGCAAACTGGAAGCCGATATCATGTTGTTAGAGTTCAAATCGACAAACGAATTGAGCGATAAAGGCTTCGATCAGTTGTTAGGTATAATAAGGAAAATGCTCCTAGAAAAAATGAGTTGCCACAAAAGACATACTTGACCAAGCAAATGATCTGCCCCATCGGCCTCGAGGTTGAAAAAATCCACGCGTGTTCCAATGATTGCATATTGTACCGTAGAGAAAAATACAAAGACTTGGACAAGTGCCCCAAGTGTGAAGCTCCACTGTACAAGGAAGGGCCATCAGATGAGGGTACCAAGACCAGAGGAGGTCCCGTAAAGGTCGTTTGGTATTTTCCTATAGTCTCCGGGTGCATAGGCTGTTTGCATGTGCAAAGTCAGCCAAGCTGTTGCGCTGGCATGGCGAAGAGCATAAGAAAGATACAATGATGAGGCACCCCACCGATGGACATGACTGGAGGACTATCAATACTATGTTCTATAAGGACATCGGTGGAGAGGTAAGGCACCTTTGGTTTGCTTTGAGCACAGATGGGATGAATCCTTTCGACCAAGTTAGAAGCAATCATAGCACCTGGCCAGTGATGCTCTGTATATACAACCTTCCACCTTGGGTCTGTATGAAGCGGTCATACGTCCAGATGCCACTACTGATCTAAGGGCCAAGACAACCTGGGAATGACATCGATGTGTTTCTAGAACTAGTGATTGATGAACTACTAGAGATGTTTGAAAAGGGTGTGCTGGATGTTTGGGATGAGTACAAAAAGGAACATGTCACGATCAAGGGAGTACTTATTGTTACAATCACTGACCTGCCAGGTCGAGGTTCGTTGTCCGGAGAGAAGACAAAAGGCTATACTAGATGTGTCGAGTGCTTGGACGAACCGATGCGATAAATCTGTCAAATAACTCAAAGATAGTTTATATGAGACACCGTAGGTTCCTACCTAAGGATCACCCTTACCACAGGAACAGAAAAGATTTCAACGATACTATTGAGAAACGCTTAGCTCCAAAATATCGAGATGGGCCTACGATACTTTGGGAACTCAACAAACTGGAGGTTGTCCTTAGGAAGAGGGACAATGCAGTAGCAGCGCCTGATGGGAGCGTTTGGAAGAAAAAATCAGTTTTCTAGAAACTAACTTACTGGCCATTTCTGAGTGTATGCCATTGTCTTGATTCCATGCACATCACTAAAAACGTGTGCGCTAACACTCTTAACACCTTGATGGACACCAGGGGAACATCGAAGGATTCACTAGCCACACGCCTAGACATGCCACACTTGGGAATCAGGAAGGAGCTGCATCCCATGGAGATAGAGAATGGCCAGTTCAAACTTCTGGTTGCGTCATGGACATTGAAGAAGGAAGAAAAGCGTGTGCTTATTTCTTTCTTCAATGAACTCAAAGTCCCGATGGGCTACTGTGCAAACCCAAAGAGGCTAGTGAACATAAGAGAACTCAAGTTCAACTATGGCCCTATGAAGGCCCATGACTGTCATGTCATTATGACTCAGCTGCTCCCTGTTGCCCTACATGGTATCCTCCCCCCAAAGGTCCACGCCCCAATCATAAAGCTTTGCTCGTTCTTTAACGCGATCTTAAAAAAGGTCATTGATGTGTCCACGCTAGGCAGCTGCAGCGGGACATAGCCGAAACTCTTGTTAGGCTTGAGATGCATGTCCTGCTGACTTACTTTGATATCTCATTGCATCTGCTCATTCATCTTGTTGACCAAATTAGAGCCCTTGGCCCAATGTACCTGCATCAGATGTTCCCTTTCGAAAGATTGATGAAAGTTTTTAGGAGGTATGTTAGGAACAGATTCAGGCTAGAAGGGGGCATGGTTGAAGGATGGTCAACGGAGGAAGCCATTGAGTTCTGCACATATTATCTGGACATCAAAAGGGTCGGAGTTCCAGAATCTCATCACGAGGGAAGACTACGTGGCAAAGGAACAATCGGGGAGAAATCTGCTATAGTAGACGACCCTGTTTCTTTCAGATAGGCATAGTTTGCTGTTCTCCAGCGAGCCGAGGGTGTGATGCCATACATTGACGAGCACAGGCAATCGCTGCAAACTCTGTATCCGAGCAAGTCATAGGCTTGGCTGGATAAAAAACATGAGGAATTTGTCAACTGGTTGCGACGTCGCTTGCTTGGAATAAAGTTGGGTAATCAACTGGATGCCTTAGCCAAGGGACCTTCGAGTACATATCTTAAGTACGAAGGGTATAAGATCAATGGATTCATATTTTACACAAAAAATCAAGATGGAACACTATAACACAACATACCTTTGCCGACACTTTTTATAGTGGACAAAGGGTACCTTTCCCGACAGATAACCTCTCGCGAAAGGTTTTGCCGACAATTTAGAAACAGTCGCACTATAAGCCGTGGGCGAAACTTTCGCCGATAGTTAAAGGAATCGCCGACACTTTTTGTGTTGCCAAATGGTGGACCTACGCCGACAGTTGAAACCTTTGCCGACAGTTAACCCTTTGTCGACAGTTAAGACCTACACCGATAGTTTGAACCTTTCCCGACAGTTTGTGTGTTGGCGAAACCATTTACAAGGTATTTTGTGAATCATGCCCTATCCAACAACTAAACTATCGGCAAAATTGTACTGCAGATATAGATATAAATACAATTTGAATAATTTGACAAATCCACTGTTATTCATATAGAAGGAAAATCTCAATTCTTAGGAGCTAGATAGAGTTGATTCATTTTTCGAAAACGGTGTTCTCATCAGGTCTGCAAAACATGACATAGACGTTCTGAACTTGAGAAGACTAACAAAAAAAGCCAGAGTAATATTTAATAGGCCACACATTTCCGTGGAGGACCATCCATGAGAATGCTCTAAGCTACAGCGCCCTTGCCCTTCTTGCGCTGAAGCTTCTTCATGTAGAACTCAAGCTCTTTACCCTCAAGGATGTACATGTTATACAAAAAAGAAAAGTGTATTGTAAGGAGCTGCCTGCAATATAAGATATAAGTGAAAATAAGGGTACAACTTCCATTCTACTTGAAGCCTAGAAGGATAAATTTGTGACAGCTGCCAACATATCTAAAATGTCTAGACTCACAGTGATTGTAACATAAAGAGTATAAACAAACATTAAGCTTTAAGCTACAAAAATTAAATGGTACACAAACAGATAAGATGCTCTAACAAAAACAAAGAAAGTCTGGTGGAAGTCCATTATTTCTTACCCATCAATAAGTGTCGGCATGGAGGCTTCATCTTTAGATACTTCAGCCATTTCATTTGAATGGATGTTATTTAGCACGGCATCTCCTTCTCTCTCCAAATCGCATGAACTTCATCAGTTCGGAATCTTTGCGTAAATGTCGACTCCACCAGGGGAGTGGTCACACCATGTGCATACGCCGGTAAACCAGTGTATGCAATCATTGCCCCATTGTCTATACAATAGCGGTCATCAGTTGCAAACAGCCTACCCCCTCTTTCTGAGCACATAATCCTCATCATCTCCTGTAAACGTTCGTTGCAACCGACGCCACCAACAATAAGAACGTCCTTTGAATCATAGTGCGCCATTGCACGTTCAGTAATTTCAACAAGCATGGCGAAGACAGTTTCCTGCGCAAATTATGACTTTCATCAGTGTCGCTGTCAACAAAGCATAACCAATTATTATCCATAAGGGGGAGAAAGTCAAGAGCATGCGAGTACCTGCAATGAGTAGCATAGGTCTGCAGGTGTGCACTCATTATTTTTAAGCTTTTCAATCGTCATAGCTTCAATAAAACTCAACATGCCACTAAATGACACATCCATACCCTTCACAACATAAGGGAGATCAATGAATTTTTCTCCCTTCTTTGCAAGCTGGACAAGGAAAATAAATACAGTACATTAAGAAACCAAACTCAAGGATGAGAAAAGAATGTGCCATGTTGTACAAAGACATAAATATGTTCAAAGAGAAAATGTCTTCAAAACAAAACAAAAAAAGAAGAAAAATGCTAATGGTGACAGCCTGACAGGTAGTACAATAATGAAGGTAGAATGGTAGATAACAATATCATGTGGAACTACCTCAGAAGTACTCTCTTGAAAGATTCACACAGACAGAATCCATATTGTTGCCAATGTTAATAATAAAGCATTAAGAATTATACCATGATTTACCACTCCTGAAATAAATCCTGTTTGCTAAACAAGTTAAATTGCTAATCAAGGTGAGAGGTTTCCCATTTCCACAACTTAAAGCTAACATAACTGAAATATTTGTGAATAGGCAACAACAGAAAAACAGCAGAAGAGGCAAAAAAAACAGTAAGATATGTAACATTGTAACTTGACCAAGATTCTCTTTGACGTGATGGCAGGAATCCCCAATATTGTCTATGATACGAACATGGAGTAAAATAAGATAGCACTGAAGAACTTCAAAGCTGTGGAATGGGCCTCTAATGATTATGATTTCAGCATAGCTAAAAGTTAAAGATAATCAGTTTTCTAAAAGGAAGCCACCTGGGTCGCCAAGGCGCTGGGCACTACTCAGCCACCACAATTTAGCCATAAGTGGTGATCCTAATAGGATGGTGACCAAAAAACTCCTAGCTCGGGAACTAGTCAAGCAAGGCAGCAGCCCAAGTAAGGTGGGTAGGCAGACAATGCAGTTCTATACTTCTAGTTAGAGCAAGCAGGTACTAGTAGTAGTCAAAATGAAAATTTTTATGACAAAAAGGAAAATGCTTAAACCTTGAGTAAGATGAATCCTTAATGTTATGAATAATAAAACCATAGGAACCACGATTTTGATTTTAGTTGCGATATGAAGGGAAGTAATAAGTATACAGTAACAGTAACTATCCTCTAGGATCAAGTAAGAAGTGAACTGTCTTGGAAGAGAACTGAATTAGCAGCATTTCAGGCTTTCATGAAGGAGACTCTATAGTTTGGCCCAACTTTGATCAGCACAAATAGCAAAATGCTTTTATGAGCTTATTTAAAAAAACATCCAGTCAAAACTAAGTGTTGTTCAGAACAGATGCAATGCTGCATGGTCACAAAGACACTATCTTGACCATTAATTACTAATATAAAGCCTGCTAATTACCAGTGCTATGAAATGAACTCACAAGAACCATCAAAACGTAGCAATAGTCATGCAGACAGATGCTCTGTTTCATTATGGAAAGTACTGCAAAAGTGCTAAGTGGTGCTACCATGGGAGAAGTTGTGATTATGAAATGGCAACTCCATTTCATTTAATTGATATGACATCTCGACATTTTATAAAATGAAAACTGGGAAAGTTCCTTTGAACTCAATATTGCTTGCAGTGACTGAAATATTATGATCATTGGCATAGGTAAGCTACAGAAAGTTTATCGTACATGTTTTGGTTAAATTTGATGCTTCACTACAATTATGTGTTTGCAATGGATAGACATGGATAAACCTAGGCGCATATATTAGGCCTTAACATGTTATTACACAAAGTTTATCTACTCCACATATGGCTGAAATTATTTGAGATCAGCATCTATAAAAATAAATAAATAGACATGGATAAACATTATTTTTTGCTGCGGACATGACTATGGCCATTACCTGTTCTGTTGCATACATGAAGACTATAGCTGTAATTTCTTAGTGGACTTAGACATTCCACTTGAACTGAAAGCTGAGATGAAAGCTAATACGAGATGGAGACCTAGTCCTAAGAAGAAAACCCAGTGCTCCTTCCGTTGTTCCTAAAATTAAAAATTCCAAACCCATGAGAATCTAGTCTAAGTATTCCTGAAAAAGGGCTAATATGAGCCAACAAAGTCTAACAACTCCAAAATGAATCAGTTTGCATATCTCCTGATTTCTAAAGCCTGGTTGTCAATGGTTAATTGCAAAAAAAAACAAGAATTGGCAATTGCACAAAATAGCTAGTTACATATATAAATAACATGCATGTTAATGGGTTAAGCCTGAATCTCGAGCAGTTTTTAGTCAGCGCCGATTCTACAAGGAATTGAAGTTACTTGAATACACTTCATGCAGCCACGTTTATAACCTCAGGAAATATACAGAAGTTGCTATTTGATGTATCCGCACATGCTTGTATCTGTATGGCAACTATGAAAGAGCGGGTCCATGAGTTATGATCCCAACAAAGATGCTCATATGAAAAAATAAGGCACCTATTCAGAATGATAAGCACTTAAAAACATGAGCACCATAGTTATTATTAACTATAGGAGAAGTTGTAGGAGCATCAGAAATTCAGAATGGGGAGCAGAGGTGGAACTGAATGCTAGACAAAACGTCAAGATGCAAATACACTATAGCAGCAAGAATAAAAGAGGCATTAATCTACCTTTCAAGCAGAACCCCTCCTCCTTTGTGTGCCCGTTTCACTATTGTAGCCTCCTGCACTGCTATCAAAACTAAGCATAAGCACTGGGATGCACCAAAACAACAAACATAACCAAAGAGAAATGGACTACACTGTAATGGCCTGGTGGGTGAGGCAACGAAGCAAACACATGGCATGCACAGCGTCACGATACGCGCGGCCGCACAAATGGCATCAGGAGGACCCCAAATCGAACGGCTACATGCTCATGGACACTCATATGCGGCTCAGAGACAATATCAGATAAAAAAGAGCAAGGGATACATCAATCGAAGAAGAAAGCATGGACTGAGGTCTGAGACTGCCACCCACATCATCCTCACCTCAATGGGGTGACACGGGCGAACGGGCCAACGAGTCACACCCACCGTCGGCCCCCTTGCGCCCCTCTCCCCTACCTCGTTGACGCCGGAGAAGGCCATCGGACATTCGTGCGATTGCCCGATTAAGCGGGCGGCGGGCCTTCTCCTCTGGTAGAGATAGAGGTTCGGCCGGATCTGGCGCAAGAAGCCACGCATGAAGCTCTAGCGGCGGTGACATGTTGGTGAGGAGGCACCGCCAGATCTGGTGCAGACAACCGACAAAGTGAGCTCGCTTAGGGTATGGCCCGCAAGCAGCCCTAGCAATGCCAGACGGTGTGGGGGCGGTGCTTTGGCACAAACAGACGGTGGGGACACAACAATGCGGCGTCGGGAGCAGCAGGGAGCTTGGGGCAGCAGCGTGTTTTTTTTTCTTCTTTTGGGATTTGATTGAGGCGTTGAAGAGGAACCGGGTGGGTGGGAAGGTTTTAGGTAGCGACATTTTTAGCGCTTGACTCGATATATTCGCTCCCCGATCGTCTTCTTTGGGGCGAGATGATATTTTCAGATGCACATTGTACTCTTGGCAAACACTACACCGACACTTATTAAGTCTACAAAAGTTTCGCCGATAGTTTTTATGTCAGCAGGGAAACGCCGACCGATAACTTGTTGTCCTATAGTCCTTTTACCGACAGATGAATTGACGTTAAAAACTCATAGAATTGCCAACACATAAAGTGTAGCCGAAACCCGCCTTTTGCCAACAGATAAGTGTAGGCAAATGTGTGTCATGGTGTAGTGGAAAGAGCACATACCAAAATTGTGGTGTTCGTTTTGATGCTCACAACGAAAATGGCAACGTGCAGATGACATACTATGGTTTCATAGAGGAGATATGGGAGCTAGCCTACGGTCCGTTGAGGTAGCTATTTTTCACTGCTAGTGGGTCCGGCTCAAGGAAATCAACACTAACAGCGAAGGGTTCACTACCGTTGATCTCACTAAGATCGCATACAGAGATGACCCCTTCGTCCTTGGAAGAGATGTTATGCAAGTCTTCTATGCAAGGGACAACAAGACAAAAGGAAGGCTAAAAGTAGACCTAGAAGGAAAAAGGAAGATTGTCGGTGTCGATGGAGTGATGGACGAAGAAGACTACAGGGGCTATAAGGAAATGCCTCCATTCGGGGCGAACGTACCCCTACCTATCCTTCAAGAGGGTGACGAACCTGCTTACGTATGGCTTGATCACAATGAGGCCCTCATTGTTGATGCACCTAAAGATAGTTAGATTATTGTTAACTATGTAATCATTATGCAGACGTTGTATCAGTAATTCACACTGAGTATCTAATTTATATTTTGTACGCATCTCTATAATTTAATTATTGACTACGTAATCAAATATTGAGATGATGTTCACAAACACTATTAGTTGATAATTATAGACCATTAATTAATTATCATAGAATTAAATAATCAAGACATAATTTTTTGTGTTATTTTAGAATATAAACTAACTGCATTATTTCTATTAATAAATAAATAAAGAAAAGCAAACTAACCGAACACCCTATCCTAGTTCAGTAGTTAAGGCCGCGCACTCTGTACTCTAAAACCCGCGCTCGAATCCTAGGCGGGTCAAACTTTTTTGATTTTGCATTTATTATTTAGTAGTGCATTACGACGGGATAAAAGAAAAAAATAAAACCAATCTAACTGAACTCCCTATCCTAGCTCAGCGGTTAAGGCCGCGCACTCTCGTCCCCGTGACCCACGCTCGAATCTCAGGCATGCCAATTTTTTTATAGTTTTTTACTAAAAGGCTGCGATGGCGGCAGGGCCCTTCACTGTCGGTTTTGGTTTTAAAACCGGCAGTGATAGCGCTGCAATGACCGACGGTGATTTTTTTTTATATTTTTTTACTAAAAGGCTGCGATGGCGGCAGGGCCCTTCACTGTCGGTTTTTGGTTTTAAAGCCAGCAGTGATAGCTTCTATCATAGTTGGTTGCTCGAACCGACACAGAAGGCCCCATTCACTGTCGATTTTTAAACTAAAACTGACAGTGATGTGTAGATGCTCCTCACATGCCAACAGTGCTTCAACTGACCACAACAGTAGGAACACTGCTCCCACCTACCCGACAACTTTAGTTCAGAAACTAAAATATACCACGACTGCTAGCCCCTATAAAATGGCCCTCGGCTAGGAGCTAGCCTCTCCATGCATGTTGGTTTCAGCCACGCCTTATCAGCCATGATACAATGTTTTTCTCTCACAACAAACCACAAATATCGTTATGCGTTGTAGTTCACCAAAATGGTGCACACAAGAGGTACTAGAAGAATGCTACTCAAGATAGAGGAACGCCGAAGATTGGAGATGCCACGAGGTTCACAAAGCCATCGGCTGTGGTGCACATCTAGAAAAGGCCATGTACAAACAAGGCGGATTCATCGATGCCACCTTGTCATCTCCAACTGGTATAGCTCGTAAACCACCTCGGTGCTGCTGTTTGACCCTAGTTGGTGCTAGAAGAATGCTACTGAGGTGGTTACATTATAATGTGTTGATACACATTGATTGTAACATTGACCTGTACGCAAATAGGTCTTTGTTATCGTATATGGAATTTTAGTGTAAGGTCTTTGTTATTGTATATGTAATTTATTTCTAATATTTTTATTATTTTTTGATGTATTTCATTACTATCTAAATAAATATATCGTTGTTGTTAAAACTTTTCCACTGTACTATCTAAATAAATATATCCTTCACATATATGCACCTTCACTGTCGGTTCTACTTATAAACCGGTAAGATATTAACTTTCAATGTCGGTTGTATTTAAAAATCGGCAGTGATGTCCATGCCCTCCTATATAAAACAAACCACCGGCCACATACATCGATCCCACCCACCCACGAACTCTCACAGTCTCATTTCTCACGTTTCACTCTCACCTCTCAAGAAATCCACTCTCTCTATGTGATTTGGTCATGGCTCCTGCATTTTTCTATGGTATTGATATGTTGTCTTCTTCAATATTCTATCTATATTCATTTGATCTATATTTATATTCATGTTTCTTTGCATTCTACATTTATATATATCCTTATTCCTTGCATTCGATCTATATTTAATTATGTTGCCACATTTTACTTGGAAGATTTTTTGTGCATATATTTTATGTTCATATTTTTTTGGCATTTTATCGATCAAGTGGTATGAACAACGGACCTCCCCCACCACAAGAACCAGGTTTCCACCCTGGCGATGAGCCATTCGCTCCTAATGTGTCCATTCCACGGTTCCCTGTTCTAGCTATTGTATGAAATATTTTCCAACATCTTTTGTTTTTTGTTGCTAACAAATAAGTGTAATTAGTTTAATATTATTGTTGCATACATATATGTCACAGACTATATCCCCAATAGATTGGCTACGAACCGCACTTAGCTGGTTCTTTATCTCAGACATCGTCGAGAACATGGCATCTAATGCAAGCGGTCGGCTATGGACGTGTGAACTCAGTTTTTCCATCCCTTTGAGGGGTGCAAATCATTGGAACCATATCCAGGAGATGAGAAGACAGAGCCCGAATGTGATAAGCGCCTAATTCAGTGCCATGCGCATCTGTTTAGAGGTACTTCTATGTGTTTGCTATGAAGTGCCTGATTTCTCGCACTTCAAGGCACTTGCTTTGAATGCTGGTGATATCCCCATCTCGCAAACAAGCGAATGGTTTGCGAGCTACAACCGTGCGGATGTGGTAAAATGGTCACTTATACCTGAGTCATGATTATTTGTTATTTATTATTGTAATAACATTCTCTAATTTTTTTTCTTTTTCTCCGCATGTAGATTGTGCTCTAGGACCTTACCTTTGTTGCATGTGGCTTGTGGTCCGTTCTAGACCAAGCTACTAAGCAACTCAGGTACGATTGGGACTTCTGCAATAGAAACCCGGTAGTACTGCATAACGATTACTAACAGGGGCAGTGGTCGTTCAGTAGGTTACATCTATGGCCGACCATTCTTTCGGTATTGTGAGGCACGAGAGAGTACACTCATACGGGCATTGATCTTCATCGATATAAGCGGATACATAATCCGTGACATCAATTACCATATATGGCTACAGAGGCATGTTAGTGTGCGTGGCCCGATCGAACCCGGCAGTGATTCCGATAGCAATTAATGTTTATTTAGCTAGGTTTTCAAGGTCGTAATTTAATTGGGTTCTAATTTTAATTTGTATGGCTTTGTGTCTTTAATTATTGTCATTGATGTAATTCATGTAACATTTGTTGGGCAACTAGAAATACACATTCCGGTGTCATTTTGGTCTCAAACTTTTTTAGGCTTCCATGTGCCACGTGTAAAGGAAACACCTAGTTTGGGATTTTTCGGAGATGGTTCGCTACTTTCTGAGGTTTAATTGAATTTTCGCGCAACGACACCGATTTATTATAGGTTGAACTGAGTCTACCCACGAAAAGATCCGGAATGGTGCCAAACTTTTACACAGGCTCTAATGTCCCTAGGGATAAGAATTTTGTGGAGGTCGATGAAAAAATCTATTGGGTCCAAGATGTAATTCACACTCTTTTGTCTCACTCAACATAGAGAAAAATATATTAATAAAGAAAATGATCAGAAAAACCTCAGATCTTGTTTGAGGCATTAATTTAGGTATACAAGCTTGCCAAAAAAATTTCAAGCCATTTCAACATAGGCGGAGTATACATTCTTCACAAAGGTACATGAGCCCTTTCATCGAACCATGACTATACACATCAGTTCTCAAGGTTTCTGTGGTTCATATGCATTCCGGCGTCGTATTGGTCTCAAACTTTTTCTTAGACTTGCACATGCCATGTGTGAAGGAAACACCTAGTTTGAGATTTTTCGGAGATGGTTTGCTACTTTCTGAGGTTTAATTGAATTTTCGCACGACGACACCGATTTATTATAGGTTGAACTGAGTCTATCCACGAAAAGATCCGGAATAGTGCCAAACTTTTACACAGGCTCTAATGTGCCCTAGGGATAAGAATTTTCTGGAGGTCGATGAAAAAATCTATTGGGTTCAAGATGTAATTCACTGTCTTTTGTC